CAACTGACACTCCCGGACTTGGGACCGGGCCTAGTGCACCTGCTGCGGTCCTGGGTCCTCACGCCATCAAGATGAGGCCTCTCCCAGGTGCTCTTGTCGTCACAAAGATCTTGACGTTGTCTGCTGAGTCTGTGACCACAACCATGGATGCCCGTGACAATCACGAGGTCGGAAAATAAAGTGTAAAATGAGTAAAGGAAGGCTGCCAAGTAACGCATCACATGAAAAACAAGCCTGAGTTCAAGGATTCTCCTATGCACTCGTCCAGCTCTCCTTCTATGGTTGCGTCTTCTGCACTGTAGCCTCCTATACCATCTGTTGGTGCGCCACTGCTTGAATCGACTGTTCTGTAAAAACTTCTGGCTGTACCCTCCTTGCCGAAAACATGTAACATCTGACCAGAAAGTAAGCCGCCTCGACGGTTCAGAAGAAAGTTGTTTCCATGAAATCAAGTGAAAACGAGCATTCATCTGCCTATCCCTCAGTTCAGTCGAGAAAACCAGAGCTTCAGCTATGAGTGGTCGTGCTGCCAGCATCGCCTGCTGACCATCTTGCCTGTCCAGGCTAAACTTCTGATTCGTCAAGATCAGCTGAAACAGTGCGCTCACGAAAAACATCCATGGCATCGAAGATAGGCCGTCAAGCAGCCTAGCCCCACTACAAAATTTGAGCACTAGTGGCGCTTGGTCCTGGGCTACATCCAGGAGGGCGAGCCCCTGACCCTGGACGTCCCCAATCGCAAGGCGAGCATCTTTACCTCGTCACACTTCTTTCTTGACGATTACCCCAATGCCCCCGGGCCCATCAGCGACGCGCCGCTGCCCCACACCACCCTCAATCCGGCGGCCGCCTTCGAGACGGCCGACGAGGGCTACGACGGGCCAAGAGAGTTCACTCAGCCCCCTTCCTTCCCGACTCAGACGGAGGCATGGACCCAGGCCAGGCCCTGCGCCACGGTAGGGCACACCCAGGCGCTCCGCCCAGCGCTGCAGCACCTCCGCATCCTCGCAGAGCTCCCGAATCACGCAGTCCGCCCCGCCCGCAACCTCAGTCGCAGCGCAGACCACTCGCACAACCCGCGCATGGACACCTTAGGGTGGCCCTGGGCTAGCAGCTCGGCTCGGACGCTCCGTGTCTTCAGTCCAAAAGTGGCCAGAGACGATCTCTCCAGCCCAGGGCTGCCAGTCCTTGAACTCACGGATTGTCCCGCTTTTGCTGCTTGCGGTAGCGCACGCACTGCTCCGATTCGTCGCAGTCTGCCACAGCCCTGGCTGACCGGTAGAAGAATGCGTGACCATTCCAAGACGTAAAGGCGACGGCCCGCTCTTCTTTCTCTGCGGGTTGGAAGCAGCAGCCTGCCCCCACAGTCCACGTAGAACATGGGAGCGTTGCGCCACACGCAGAAGGTTCGGATCTCTGCCGGGGAGACCCCCCGGTCCTGCCAATTCCCTGGACAAATCGAGTTGAAGTCTTCGATGACTTCCGCAGCGGAAGCTTCAAAAGCTCCGCCAATTGACGGGGCATGCAGAGCATGTCCCGCCGCTCTCAAACGCACTGGAAAGGATCTGGTCTCCAGCGAAGAGCAGGTAGCTGACCTCTCGCAGGGCCCCCAGCGGCTGGCGCAGGCGGATCTGCGTGTCGACCCGATTGTCGATGACCTGCATGGAAGAACAACTATCCGCCCACTCGTTGGTGGGGTGCAGAAGTAAACCTCGCCGCTGATCATGTAGATGGGTTCGTCAGGTCCGGGCTGCCCCAGCTGTCGGAGAACGGATTCCTTGACGTTGCGGGTGACCTGTGCGTCGCTCCAAGCATCGTTCTGCCGGGACAGCCCAACATCAGCGAGGTCACGGGCAGATAGTCATGGCGCTCGTTGGAGGTGCCGTTCCTGCGGCGTCCTCGGATGATCACGGGCACATGGGCGAGCCACTCCGTGTGCTTGTCTCGAAGAAAGCCTTTTCCAATTTCGTTACGTGGTACTGGCCGTTGGCCTGCGAGCGCCGCCTCTCGTAGTCGTTGAGTCCATCTCGAATCAAAGGTTGGCTCGTCGAACTGACGGTTCGGCGGTCGCCGGCCGGTGATGCTGTGATAGAACTGCCCAGCACGGGTCAGTTGCGCGTTGGGTCGCGTCAGGAGCACGGACTGCAAGGCTGGCAGGCGTCGTCGCCGTCCTGTGGCTTATCACGATGTCCGAAGACCCGACGGCCCAGCCTTGCCTTCGCGGCACCTGCATCTATTCATAAAACATGCAGTGTCTCCACGAGTGCTACAAAGCGGTTTGTTAAATGGGCAAGGTGAAGCTCTTCCCGAGCCAAAGCTACGACGTCAAGCAGCCGCGACCCGGCGGTCTGCAGGACGCCCTCCAACGGCATCCTCTGCGCGCCGTCCGCATCCGGGAAGACCGTTCTCCTCGTGTCGATGATCCTTGAGTAGTACAGGGGCTGCTTTGAGCGCGTGTACGTTATGTCGAGTTCCATTGACATGGATCCGCAGTGGGACCCGGTAAAGAGGTACAGGGAGGAGCTGGGGGTCAACACGGACCGCGAGCAGTGCTGGTGGGATGAATGGAACGAGGACGCGCTGCGCCAGATTCTGGCTCAGCAGAAGAAGATCACCCAGCAGTCCAAGCAGCTGGGCATGAAGAAGTTGTACCAAGTACTGATAGTTTTGGACGACTCCCCGTACGTGCACAAGAAGACCGGCGACGGCATCCTCGACACCCTGTTCATTCGAGGGCGCCACTACTGCATCAACACCTGGGTGTCCACGCAAAAGCAGCTCCGACTCATGCCCTCGGCCGTGCGGGTCAACACCATGTTCTACTGCGTCTTCCGCTTGAGGAACCAGCTGGAGCTGGACGCCCTGGTGGAGGAGCTCTCCGCCATGCTCCCCAAGGACGTCTTGTATGGCATGTACGAAGAGGCACCCGAGAGAAGTACAGCTTCTGGTTCGTGAACCTGCGAGCGCCAAAGGAAGACATGTTTTGGGTGCGCTTCGACCGCAAGTTCCTCGTAAACGATGGGGACGATCCTCTCGCAGGTGGTGGGGAAGCTGCTGGGCAGCGGCCCCCTCTGCGACGCTGAGTGCAACAATCTGAGCTGCTGCACGAGCACGCAGAGGGTCGTGGACCCACGCTGGCCCTGCCCGGACCGGCCCCGCCAGATCAGCAACGAATCCGACGCCTCCACGGCCCGGAGTTTCTTCCGTCGCAAAAGAAAGATGTCGACGACGATCTATACGTGGACTCCCGCAAGCGCGTCGCGGGGGACGACTCCAGCTTCGAGTTCGACATCGGAGAGACCCTGCACCTCCAAACGGGGGCCAAGCTCAGCGTCTTCAAGCTCCGCGTCGCCGACGCTTTCCTGTCCACGGACCGAGGACAATATCTCGACTCTACTGGCTCGACGAGGCCCTGCAGACCCTCAACTGGGCGGTGCTGCCCGTCGGAGCCTACACGGGGACCCGCCTGGCCGTGCCGGAGACCAACGACTCGAGCTGAGAAGCCTCTTCCCAGGCAGCGGCAGCTACCCCGCGGGCGCCACCCCCAGCCGGCCCCAATCCATCAACCACCTCTTGGGCCCCTCCTTCATCGACGGCGCCCTCCAAATCTTCACGTTCGTGACGATGAATCCCTACAGCGAGCTCCTGCTGCGCTGCGGCACGCTCGCCACCGCCGCCGACATCAAGGGGCCGCTGGGGCAAGACATCATCTGCAAAATGATTATCGACAAGGGAGTGGGCAACATCATACAAACAAGAACAGAGACGAGGGTCATTTCGTGAAATTGCACGGGCCCATTACCCTGCGCACCCTGCGTTTTAAGCTCACGGACGTGGACGGAAATGTGGTGAATACCCGCGGCACCAGCGTTTCTTTTGCGATTTTCCTGGATTACGAAAACTAATATCTCTTAGTCAGTAAATGGCGGAGGAAAATGTGGTGGAGGAGGCTCCTCCAGAAGCTGAGAACTTGGCTCCAGTCTCGGATCCCGTGCCGGCGACAGTCGAGGCCCCGGCCCCGAAGCGGAGAGGCAGGCCACCGGGTTCGAAGAACAAACCGAAACCCCCAAAGACGGTCCCTGCCGAAGAGATCCCAGCACCGGCTCCCGAGCCCTCGCAGCCTGCGGCGGCTCCCAGGGCTGCAGAGGCTCCGAGGGCTCAGCCCGAGGCTTCGACCGCTCCTGCCCCTGACCCCGCCCCGGTCCCTGAGCGAGCCCGTTCCGGCGGCGCCACAGCCTTTGACCCCCGCCCAGGAGCGGGCAATGCGCTACATGCAGCGGCAGGACCGGTACACATGGAGCTGCTCGCGCGAAACACGCACGAACTGTAAAGGAACCATGATGCCCCTTGAGCGGCGCAACGAGCCGCAGATGCTGCGGCAGTTCCACAAGATGTATCCGTCGTACAACATCAATCCCCTTCTCCGGAGAAGGCACCAGCAACTGGTGGAGGCGCAGGCCTTTTTCCTTTCCACACGCACCGCTCAAGTAGAACGGCTGGCGCTAAGGTGAGCAGGAGTGATCCCGGCCACTCGGTTGGTGGCAATGTGATTTCATGAAATCAGGATGCGAGCGAACCCAAGACCCAAGGCCAAAGCCAGCGGGCAAACAAAGCCCAGCCCCGACAACAACACACCACAACACAACCACAAGAGCAACGAACGACAACGGAACCCACAACAGAACAGGAACAAAAGCAACACAACACAACAAACAGAACGAAAGGAACACGAACGAACAGACAGGCAACAGCGAACGAACGACGACGACGAGGAAGACAGCACGACAACAACCAACCGCCCAGAACAACCCGAACAGCAGCTCCATCCACGATCACATGAAAATCACACTCTCGGTACTAACATTGCCTCGCCACGAATGGCAGCAGGCGACCCCGACATCGCTGCGCACAGCTGCATGTCGACCAGTGAAAACGTTGTTTAAACAGTTGTGGAAACCAAGCCTCTACGCAGCATCAGAATCATCGCTCAAGGAGTGTGCTCAACATTGTTTGAGCAACCAGACAAGATACGTGTTTTTGAGGATAAGCGAATGTTCGGAGCTATCAAGCTTGCGTGGGATACGACCATCATCGGTCTCAAAAGCATTCTCGAGTGCGCGCAGAGGCACCCCTGGGTTTACCGGACCCGGCACATCACAAGCCTCACAAAGGAGACCTCGATAATGACCTGAGGCTGGGGTGTTTCCAATGTGGAAAGCCCCCGCAATGACACGATATTGACAGTGATTCAAGTCCAGATTATTGTCATTGGCAAAAACCGGTATGCTAATGATCCCATCAAGCTCAACAATCCCTTTGAATTTGCTCACATGTCGGTGTGATCGCTGTCGGAAGCGACCGAGCTGCACAAGGATTAAGGGCGAGGCAAACCCCAAAGCATGAACATCATCCTGCTGGCACCAAGCCTCAACGCACTGTTGTATGGTGCACGCATCCTCTGGAATTGGCATTGTGATTGGGAGATGCAAAGGGCCGCGATCCACTTCACGGACCTCTGGGACTGCTGGGGTCCCAGCTCTAACTCTGGCAAACCAAAGGCCTTGCATCATGCCAGTCCGCAGCTTTGGCAATGCATGCATGGCAAACTCACCTATATCATGTTGTTGCTGGGGTCGTGACCACTGTTGCAAGACGGCGCTCCAAGCAAAGACCCTCGACAAGCGATCATATGAGCCCAAAAGCAATGCCTGAACAAGGCCTGAGCATCGACCTAGTCGTGCATCGATGTGTTCCCCGACCTCACGCGTGTAAGCATGCAAGGTGGCCCATAGCCACGTCATCACGAAGGCATTTTGGTAACAAAGGTTGCCATGATTGTGCAGTTTTAGGGCCAACACCCGCCGGAGAGCAGCTCCTGAAGTTTCCGCGCAAGTGGATCTCTCTTCAGCCCCTGTGGTCGGAGTCTGGCACCCACCAGCATCCAAATCGCGGAGCTGCACAGAGTCTCCAGAGCCTCGTGAACCTTCATCGCCTCGGGACCTTTGATCGAGGTCTCCAGCTTGAACTCGAGCACCTCGCCGGTGTATTCCTCCGCGAGCTGCCGCGTTGGATGGAAGCGCTGCACGATCTGCCCGCTGGCCAATGCCAGCAGCGTCTCGAGCGCCTTCACCGCATCGGAGTGTGGGAGCGGTCCCACATCTGGACACACGATCTCCTTCTGCTGAGCCACACTCCAGACCAATGGCATCCAAGCTGGCTCCCGTCCGTCCTTCTTGACAATCGAATTGTATTGAATGAGCAGCTGCACCTTTTCCTCCACGCTCAGCACCGCTTTGGCCCGCGTGAGGAGTTCTAGGAGGATGCCCTTGAAGAGAGCCATGCGCTTGGGACAATCGGTCTTCCCTGCAGCCTGAAGTTCCTTCCATCGCATTGAAAGATCGTTGACTGTCGACAGCATGGTCTCCCCGCCTGTGGTCTTGAAGATCATCGTGTATGCTCGATCCGCCTGAAGAATGTTGATTGAGTCCTCGTGCCTCAAGCATAGCTTGGCTATCAGCGGGATCAGCGATTGTTCTGGAGCTCGCTCCGAAGAAGCCTCTGATGTCTCGCGCTGCCTTTTTGATTTGTTCTTGCCTTGCCTGCCCTGTCAAGGGTGTCGCAGGGGGTCTGGGATTCTTGTTTTGAGATCCCTGTGCTCCTGTTCCGTCCTCGAGCAAGCTGACTGCTGGTAGCACTGCCCCGAACAGAGATGTAACACCCTCCTTGGTGAGCTCGGTCATATGCTCTGCAAGAAAAGGCAGCCTGAAACAAGACCGGGCAGCCAACAACATGCCTTGACTTCCTCGTGAACGGCTGCTCACAAAACTCACATGGAGTAAGGATGGCACCGACAAGTCCCCGGCAGTCGGCCAAAGCAAGCTCTTGGCAATCGTCAAAGATGGCTTTGTGAGACTTTTGCAAGTGATACTTGATGTGTCTAGGATCAGAGAACCATTGCCTACAAAGACAGCATCGTGACATGAGTTCGCCCCTAAGGTCCGGGACATTGCGTATCCGATCAAGAAGCGTCTGAACGCCCCCATGTGCAATGTCACAGAGAAGCTGCCCTCTTTGAGCAACAGGTTCAGGTTCGGGCAGTGGCTTTGATGGTGGCGGTGGTGGTGGTAATGAAGGTGGCGGTGGTGGCACGCTGCTTTCATCATGCTCAATTGTTGCACCAGCTGTGGGCACACTCCCATCAGTTTGCAGTGTCTGGGCTTTTGGACGCAGAAGTGCACGTAGGGCCGGACATCTATCGTTGGCCACATGCCTCAAAAGGGTCTGGAAATGATGAAAGTGCCGGTGACAGCCTCTGCAAATCGGCATTCCATCAATGCAAAAGTCTTGGCGGGGCAGGGTGCTTATGTTAATTGGTTGGGCGGGCGCGATATCCGGGTGCTTACGGGATTTATGTTTGCGCATGGAGGTTTCGCAGTCGAAGTAAACGCCACACTCAGGGCAGGCAACCCCTTCAGTAGGCACGATGCGCTCAAGGCGACAGCACCCTGTGACTGCGTCAGTCAGCTGCTCACGTGCCCAAGTGGCCTGTGCAAGCATTTCCGGATTTTGCATGATAAGGTCTGGCGTGGCCGCAGCAAGGCCCAGGCGTTGCCGGAGATTGTCCACCGCCTGCTTAAGGAGCACAACAGGGTCTTGAAGACTGAGAAGGTTGTACACTTCCTGATTTGTGGTTTGCGTTATATGCCTCGGCGATTTTGCAATGGCACGAAGCTGCGTGTTCACGAGTCCCATCGCCTTCGACAAGACATACCCTGAACAACCACAACAGGTCCAGCCGTACACCAAAGTCGACCAAATGCACGCGCGCCAAATTTGAGCGCGTCTTCTCAGGCCCAGGCATCGGGAGGACGTTAACACACTGCGTAACCTGGAGAACTGTGTCTTGGCAGATTCGATGCGATGCTGCACCGTGAGACTCTCAAAGTCATACAAGGAGATCACACAGCCCAAGTACACGTGTGACCGACGGACTGGCACATGCAAAGGTTTATCACTCAGCCAACTGATGTAGGTGCCCTTGCTGTTAGTGTGCATGTGTTGTGTCAACAACCTGCGACCTTCGGGGTGTGCCATCCGAATGAGCATGGCAGTTTTGTTCACATTCACTCGCAACCCGAATGTAGCAAGTTTTGAAAGGAATTTGGGTACGATCTGCAAAGCCTCAAGGAACTGCTGCTTCGTGTGAAAAATTTTGCTCAAGAGAAAATCGTCGGCGTAAATTTGAAGGTCAGTGAGAGGGATGATCGGTTGCAGTTGGTAGGCAACATAACAAGTGAAGCATGTCCAGATCAGCGGGGACAAAGTACATCCTTGCCTGATGCCACGCTCAGTCACTATGCGTAGATTGATGTGTGCATGCTGAAGGTGGTATGTAGAGCCGGTGAGCCATTCCATAATGATGTGTACTTCGTGATCCCCAACCCCTGCAGCCAGCAAGGAATCTCTCACAAGACTTCTGGGCACAGCGTCGAAAGCCATTGACATGTCAAGCGACAAAATGTAGCCTCCTGAGTACGGCGCAGAGGTGTGCCCACTTCTGCGCGCAAAGATGCTGTTCCCGGCTTGCTGGGTGAGCTGCCTAATCTGTCGACATCTAGCAAACACACTCAACAGGGCACCCTCAGTTGATCTCTGCGGCAAGCCCAGAGACTCCAATATTCCTTAATTAAGTTAAGGCATAATTTTAAGGAGAATTACCTCTTCAGGAGAAAAGAACTTTAAAAAAGAATTTTAAAAAAGAATTATGCGTCGTGGATATTAACAAAGAATTTTTGGGCGGCATTGAACCAACACAAAATTCATTGGCATATGGTTATGTAACACACATTGAAACGAAACACAACACCAAACACAACACACCACAACACACAACACACAACACACAACACACAACACACAACACACAACCCACAACACACAACACACCACAACACACGACACACAACACCTCACAACACACACACACATGCAACACACAACACACACAACACACACAACACACACAACACACACAACACACACAACACACACACAACACACACAACACACACACACAACACACACACACAACACACTCAACACACACAACACACAACACACAACACACAACACACAACACACAACACCTCACAACACACAACACACAACACCTCACAACACACAACACACAACACACACAACACACAACACAACACACACACAACACAACACAACACAACACAACACAACACAACAGGACACTGCAGGACACGACACGACACGACACGACACGACACAACACCACACGACACGACACGACACGACACGACACGACACAACAAAACACAACACAACACAACACACAAACACACACAACACATGCACATGTTATAAAGAAAATTGAGTTATAGTTCGATATGCACCCATGGGCCGGTCCTGCTTAAGTCCTGCCATGACAAAACATATCCATATTGCATGCATGCATGCAGCACAGATCGAACTCGTTGCAATGGATTAACATTGCATGCTCGGATATGGATCGGCCACGTCAAATAACTTGCATGTGATGCATGTGCCCGATCAAAGATATATCGCAGGCCTCGACTGCATTTACTCGGCCTAGCATTTGGTCGCGGTCATGCCGAAACGTGAATGCATGCATGTAAATAGCAAATTAGTATGGATGTATAGGTATCTGACAGTAGAATAGCAATATAATATATGCAAATCGGAGTATGTAAACAAAGCCAAAATATCTGTACCAAAAAAAATATGGCCTATATCGCAAAATCTCGCTCCAATCAACATATTTAAGTATATACTATGCTTGTATTGCATTTGCAAAATTGACTCCATATTCCACCATGTGCTGAGACCCCTCTGTTTGTTGCACGATCGCTCGTGTGACCGTGAGAGCTTTGCAGCATGGGCGCATATACCACACACATGCATTGGATCGATCTAGCTGCGGAAAAAAGATATAGTCTCGATATATATATATATATATATTACGAAGCCCTTGCACATGCAATATCGCACGATCCGTCGCATGCATGAGAGCGGCTGCACGTACTACACCTGAGGCACTTTGTGTTGGGCCCGAAACTTGTTCAACAAGTTTCGGGCCATTGGAGAAGGCCCTTCATGCCCGCCCCTGGATCTGCTCTGCGCCGCGATCCTTACATGTGCCAAAACGATAGGAAATCTATAGCTAATCGCCTTGTTAACAAAAGCTATTCAATTCAAGGCTCGACCCACCGAAGCTTTCGTCCCTGTAGGTCCGCCACATGCTGGGTGAGCTTCTCGCCATCTCACACACGTGGAGCCAGACATGCATTTTAGGTTTGTATCTCCAACGGGCATCCGGCTGCACAGCTTCTTCCAAAGCCATGTACCTTTGGCAAATTTATGCAATTAAGGATCGATATCGGGACATGCACAAAACAGCCAAGGTACAAGTGCAAAAACTGCTTGCAATGGAAAGCCAGGTCATCGGCATCGAAAGCTTCGCGGGAGAGATTCCGATAGCATGCTTGCAAATGCTTCGATGCCATACGACATGTCGACTCCTCGGACGACAGTCCGTAGCCTTGCAAGTACTTGTCACAAGCCATGACCACCCAATCCACCAGGGATCTCGCTTCCCCAGCCTTGGACCGCAATTTAGGCGACTTGGATGCTTTCTTGCGAATCATCAGTGGCGTAAGTGCACCCAGCTGGTTGTCGCATCGATTGGTAACATAATACTGTCGAATGTCATCAAAAAGCAACTGTACTCTCTTCTCATGATTGTCGGCGGGCATCTTCGTACTCATCAAAAACATGGCGTTGCCCAAATAATCTTGGCATACTCCAAGATCGCAACAGTGTAGCCAATCTATACAAAAGGTGCGAATGTCGACGAACGGGGCTTCAAATATTGGCGAACAGTTCTTGTGCAAGTCGAGCATGTGGACCAAAAGGTCGGAAGTCTCCCAAAGCTGGGTCCTCCATGGGGCAGTGGGGCCCAAATCTCGCATAGTTTCCGGCGTCGCTTTGCAGACAAAACAACAACACCTCTTCTCGTTCCAGGCAGGCATCCTAAAGGATGCCTTCAGCATAGACCAATCTCCACGAATTTCTACGACTGCTCCTCGTGCATGCATGGGACGGCCCGCCAGCTTCGCTCTTTTGCCTTGCAAAAGGGTGCCATTCGATTCGTGCGACGGAAAGAAGCCCGACAGCAAGGAATGGCAAGACCAAGATAACACCTTGAACACAGCGTCCCAAGTCTTCCCGCCCTTTAAAAAAAATTTCTTGTTCATCACCGTCAAGGGAATCCGAATGTCTTGTCGGACTCCAAGTCCAGGGAATGACATTGTGACCATTTCCAACGATTCGCTTCGGTCCCCCTTGATGGGGACCCCATCTGCCCACAAAGCAATGCTGATCAGCGGTGCAGTACTTGAGCCCGAAGCGGACGAGGCTTCGAAGAAAGAGCGGATTTCCTCCATCTTGTTTGCCAGCTGAGGCCTCAAGTGTTCCATCGATGCAAACTTGTCAATGGAGTCCTTGTTCCAGCGAATCACCGTGTCCACCAGCTCGTGTGGCAGCATCATGAAAAGTTTCGCGACAGATTCTTTGTCTGTTTTCGTATCGTATACCGGTACATCACACTCGAACAGGTCGGGCCATCTAGAATTGGACAGCAGCTTTCTCAAGACGTCGCGGTGTGCATTGTGATCTGTATCTCCAGCCACATCGGAAACATGCACAGCTTTGGCGTCCCCTGCATCCTGGTACAGGGTACGGGCTCGCTTCCCACTGATCTCGCCACTCAAGAAAAGATCAGCTAGGTTCTCACGTAGCCGCCTCTCCTTAGGCAGCTGCTCTCTTCTTTCCAGAAACTCTTTCCGATTCTCCATGCTGCCATATTCACAAGAGGCATGGTCGCACAGTCAACCCTAGGCAAGCGTTTTCGGCAACGGAGTTCGGGGACGGGCTACACATGCATTCGATCGGACTTGAAACTGCGTAGGGTTGTAATCGAGACTCCAAAATCCCAAGTAAACATGTGTATATGTTTAATTTGTACACAGGCTAGCGATATATTAAGTATAAAAGCATATGCAATGTATACCTTTATACACATGCATACAAGGGGTTTTGGAGTCTCCATGCCACGGGCTGCGGGTTGCAATGCTCCTGCAGCTGATGGGCCTTGGCAGGTCGAGATTAAGTTGAGGGCATGGTTTACGGGCGATATATCCTGGGTTAAGCTTGGTGTTAAGCTGGGTGCCCATAGATCGACGACATTACGATAACAGCTTAATTTGCTATAGTTCGCGATGCGGGTTCGGGCGTTCGGTCTAAATTGGGCCGTTCTGGGTGCATATGGCTTCACGTGGAGCTCGAGCTGCTCAGCCACATATAATAAGCGCAATTATTCGGGCATTGAAGACTCCAAAACCCCTCAATTCAGGAATGAATTCAAAATGTAATACATAAGGCTTCTCTAATAGTATATACCATACACTTAATCCTTACTTGAGTGGTTTTGGAGTCTCTGCTAGGTTATAGTTCGGGCATACAATAACCGGTTAGAGCATCGGGATACATAGCAGCGTCATCTTATTGATTCGGGTTTCCAACTCTTTGAGGGCGGTGGCTCGAGCTTGCATGCAAGCTTGGCTTCAGGGTCCGAGGTTATTTGAGGGGCTGGATTGATGCAAAGTTTCGTTAAGCTAGCTGTTGCATTCAGGCCATCATTATTTGGAATGTTACGGCTAAGTTTCAAACCCAATCCACCGAATGCATGATGGTATGGCAAACGTCCTTCTGGGATCAATTAATGGCATACCTGCACATGTACATCATTGCATGCGTTATTCAAGCCTTGGGGTTAAAGTGGGTTTTGTGTTGTGGGTTTTTAAGGTTTTAGGTTTTCGGGTTTATGCATGCCCCAGCAACCGGCCTCGCTGATCGCACGATGCATGCCCCGAAACACGTGCACCATCCATCGATGCAAACCTTATTTGTAGCTAGACCCCCTATGTAACTATTTCGAAATGACTATCTAACCATAGCCCCTTCAGAAACCCATAGGGGTACCCGTTGCAAAGACCACGATAAGTTTTGGGCGCCTCGGATGCATGAGCCGTCATCGCATTGCACATGTGCACGACACGTCTTGGATCCTCGACCCACCGGCTACGACATGAAAGCCTGCAAGCGAAGTTTAAACTGCTTCAATCCATCAACGTGCACCGTGGCGATATTGATCATGCCCTCCATCTTTCCACTGAGTTCCTCCCAGGCCTCTTTGGTTGTGTTCTCATCGGATTGCAAAACGGCGTGCGTGCTGATCTGGACCCGGGCTCGTTCCACGAAGCTTTTGGCCTCTTTCAAATTGTTGTTGCCCTCCTTGATGAACTCGGCGTACTCCGGCTTCTTCGTGCACTGCAGCTGCGAAATTCCATCCTCCAGCGGGTTGATAAGCTTCTCAATAGAAGCTTTCCCGCTCTTCAACACACCAACCTTCTCCGTGGCTTTCACCTTCTCGGGGTTCTCGATCTTCACCTGGCAGCTGGAGCTGCTGGAATCGCCCAAAGCCAAAGCAAGGCCGGATGTTTTGAGGTTGGTGCTGATCTCCATGTTCGTCTGCTTCGTTTCTGCATAGGTGCTGCTGCTTTTACCGAAGCAAAAGAAGTACTTGGTAAGCTCGGGGCATCCGGGGACCTCCTTCACGAGATCCTTAAGGTCCTTGTAGTCCACGTCGTAATCCTTGTAGTTCTGGATCCTCATGGCCTCGAGCACAATGTCCTGGCGCTTCTTCTCCGGAGCGGATCCCGAGCCCAGCTCCCTCTCAAATATCTTGCTCATCACGAAGAAGCCTCTTTCCACTTCCTGGGCATCACTGTTCGATGAAGTGGCCTGCTCGGTATAGCTGGGAACCCAAGCCAGGTTTTTGATCCCGCCCTTTTCCTGGTACGTCTTGATGAGGTCGTGCTTGGCGGAGGAATCAGCATTGTGATAGGTCTGGCAGGGACAGAAAATTCAAAAGACACGACCTAGATAAGGTTTGAGGCTGCGTGGGTGCAAGGTTGTTTGCAAAACCAGCCGAAAGTCCCGAACCACTAAAACACCCCAGCGTGGCACATAGTATAGATAGGGACAGATAGTACGTGTTTATAATATAATATGACATAATATAACATAACATAGCATAATATAATATATATGAACAACCGAGCTGGTAATGCACACCAACACCCAAACCCCAAGCCCACGGCTGCTCGACTCCCGAAAAGCAAACCCCCTCTCCCGGCCCGGGAGAGGGGGTTTGCTTTGAGGCATTCTTGGGTCCTGCGTTACCTTAAGGGCACCAAACCCCAGATCACCAAGCACCAGACCCGACACACACACACACACACAGAACCCTAACCCCCCCGCCCACCAACAACATTACCCTCAACCCAAAAACCCAACCCCTTCAAATCAAACACAGCCGGCCTCAAGCAGCTTCTGAGCGTTCGTCTTATCATTGCCCTTGCCGTTCAGCGACTTATACTTCAGGCCAGTCAAGAAAGTCGACGTCGTCCCTCGCGATGGCTGCTGCCCTGGATCTGCAGCCTTCGCCTTCGCCTTCGCCTTGCTCTTGACCGCCGTGTTCTTCGGCGCCGGCTTTTTCTTCACACCCATGGCCTGCACAGGGGCGTTAAAAAAAGTTAAAATTTTAACTTTTTTTAACATTTTTTTAACAGTGGTTTTAAAGCTATTCTAATGGACAAGGATGCGTTAAAAAAGTGTTAAAATTTTTTTTTAACACTGTCTTAACAGGCCATTGCTTGCTAAGGTCTGGTGTCTCAGCACGGAGCAGAACCACAGCAAGCGAAGAAACCCGGCCAACCGTCAAGCATTCAATCCAGAAACAATGGAGGTAAGCCGCCATGACCCAAAGCAATGCACAGCCTCGATTCGAAGATCGCCCGCCACAGGATCCAGACGGCGGAGATCAGCAGCCTGGGAAGTGGTATAGTGGTAGTAGTCGTAGTAGTAGTAGTAGTAGTAGTAGTAGTAGTAGTAGTAGTAGTAGTAGTAGTAGTAGTAGTAGTAATAGAAACCTCTTTCTGAAGCTAGGGTGGCCCTCAAGTGTAGGGACAGCGCAAGTGCGCCAGGGAGGAGTCCCTGCCAATCCACTGGACTTCGCAGTGCTGAGATCGCGTTTCTCTGCAGCGTCCGGAAGAAGTAATAGAAACAATAGCAGCAGTAGTAGTATTAATAGTAGTAGTAGTATCATCACACTCGCTGCGGACGGTGAGGTCGCATTGCGATGACTCGAGCGGGGTCACCCGGCGCACTGTGGCGCTCGATCTCGATTGGATCGACTCATCTAGCTACGTAGCTACGCTGCCCCGAAGGGCCTATGCTGAGGTTGCAGCACTCCTCATTCGGTACACAAGGATGTAATTGGAGGTGGACAAGGCTTCTGGTGGGACCGATTGCGCAGGACTATTGTCATCGGTGTGATGCCACACGTTCGCTGTTCCTGAACGAGGTTTGAGTGCAGCACGGTAGTGCCCACTGACCGTGGTCGGTCCAATATGCTGGACAATCGCCTGAAGCTGATACGTTCTCCAAATGATACCTTCAGGGGATGAGGGAGTCCATTGTGGGAAAAGGACTTCTGGATCAGCATCTAATGCGATGGTCACGTTTGGATGCAATGCCCTGTTCATTGCGAAAGCGGTTGAGCTGTACAGCCACAGCTTCAGTACCTGCAATCAGGGCGTGGCGACGTTTCTGCGAATACCAGCGATTGATGCAGGACTGGGCAGTGGTGGCAATTGTGTCAGAGGCATCTTGCATTCCGGAAAGTATGAGTGGGCAGACCCCGCCTTCATCTAGAAGCATGTGGCTGTCGTCAAAGGACTGCCAGAGGCCCTGGAAGCAGGGTGCATTGAGGACTTGGTGTAAGTGGAGGAGGAAGTCCGCTGCATCATGTTGCCTGGCTGGGTGGGACCAGCGTCGCATTGCCTGCCTCCACGGGAGGAGCGACCAGAGTGTCACTTGCTGTTGTTTGCGCGCCTGGGCGATGAAGCTCCTCAACGGTTCCCTGTCCAGTACCTGAAAGGAGGAGGGGGTTTGGGACACAAGCCAAAGATAAATAAAAAGGCAGGCATGGGAGTAACAGTAGTTGGAAGGATTGCGGAGCTGCAATGTCGGGAGCAGGGCTGAGGTCTCGGCGGCTGTCTCGGCATAGGGATGTGCATGGACTGGAGGAGGGTCTGCAGCTGTTGGGCCAAGGCTGATCTCTGGAGGCGATCCGGACGAAGGGTGCAACCGATCATCAGGAGAGAGGAATTGTGTGAAAGGAGCTGGAGCAGCTCCCAGAAGCGAGCCATGTGCTCGCCCCTCCAGCCCACTTCCAATAGCCAGGTCACTGTGCTGCCTTCCATTTTCTCCTCCAGCTGGCGAGTGGCATGGAACCTGTTGAGCAGTTGCGGTTGTACACTCAGCGTCGCTAGCTCCTTTGCAATCTCCACCACTTTCTGTGCCGTGAGCGGTTCGCGATCGGGAATGGGCTGCATCACACCCTCCTTGTTGTTCCATTTGCGATAGCCGAACCCCGTGTTCGGGTTGTAGAGCTCCATTTGGATCGCCTGTTCTCGGGCATCCTCCTGGTCGATGACCTTCTGGGCACGCTGAGACAGCTCGAGTCAGTTTCTGCCACAGAATGATGCGCATCGGATGGGTGATGGATTCCGGGTCGTTCCACCGCAGCTCGTGCCATCCTTGGGCTGTGGCGAACAGCTTGGGGAGGACAGTGCCCGGGGGCTGAGTCGTGAGGAAGAGGATCCAGGTGGTGGATTGCTGTAGGACTGAGAGAGCGTCCTCGTGTCTCATGAGGAGTCTGGCCATGGTG